CGAAGGTATTCATCGAGCACTTCGCATGCATATCGCTCCATTGAATGCAGGGTGCATTAAACTCCCCCATGAGAACAACGTCTGGTCGGCTGGCGATCTCTTTGATGCTTTTCAGTAGACAAGTATCTGGGTCGGGATCCGACTGCGGGGGCCGGTAGACAGTTAAGACTTCGAGGGACTGAGATCCCCGCGCCTTTATAGTCAGCCAAATTGCCTCTGTGTCGTTAGAAATCTTGTCGGTCCTCTCACACACTGCTAAGTTGCTCTTGACATACATGGCAACTCCTCCACCCCGGCGGCCTCTCCTGTCTCTCCTAAACAAATGGTATCCTGTTAATGCTACCTCGTAATCACCAACATCCTCTGACAGCCACGTTTCTGTTATTGCTATAACATCGGGAAGAGTATCGTCTACCTGTATTCTCAGTTCGTCAAGCTTGGAAAACAGACTCTGAGCATTGGAGTAAAAGAATTTTAGTTTGCAACATTCGACAGTGTTTCGTTCGGTTTGTCTCGGGTTTGCCAATATTATGTTGCTGCCGCCATCATGATGACTGGCTGGTTCCAAAACGACATCGCGTTCCTCTGTATTACTCGTCCCCTGAAAATGGCCAAGTTGCTCTCTCCCGCTGCAAGTCTCCTCTTCAACTCCGTTACCAATTCGCGGCGTTTCAGACGTTCCGCTGGAGAATAATCCGGCTGAAAAAAAACTTCCTTGTGCGAGTTTCGGAGGCTGCTTTTCCTGGACAGAAGTAAGCTAGCCTCCTCTTTACTGTTCAAAACTATTTTCAGAGGTCGTGGCCGCACAGTTTCTGATTGTTCGCTCACCTTCTTTCCGATCCTGAAGGCTGCGCGAATGGTTATCTTTTCATTTGAATTAAGCATTTCGTTCAGTAGGTGTTGAAGCATATTAAGGTCAGCGGAGATCCTCTCCTTCGGGGTAGAAGCATCCGACTCCGATAGGCCCTGGACGACTACGCAGTGCTGACGATCAAGGGGTTCATTTTTTCTGTTTCCGGTGGCCTTGTCAGCTGAAGGTCTCAGAAGATCGACCGGAGTCTTCTGGGGTTCTATACTCCCGTTGTGGCGCTTACCCTTTCCATCTTGCCATGAGCTTGTTTCCTCACTTCCAACTGAGGGTCCTGTTGAACACGCGGAATAGCTGAGAGAAGTTTATTGCTCGCTTGGGTTGTCTCCCATAGAAACAAGAGACTCCGTTGCTATTTTCCCATCGTCCTGGGTATCGGCGCTCTTGCACAGAGGTTTTCCACATGCTTTGTTCTTTGGCTGTTTCAGAGTTTTGCTCTTTCCCTTTTTCTTGCTAACTTTAGCGCTATTCACCGCGTTTTGCACACTATCGTTCGCTTGCACGAGTTCCCTTAAAGCAGTCAACTCTTTTTCGAGTTTTTGGACGTTCAGCAGAATAAATGAGCATCCAGTGCATGGCTCGACCTCGTAACTAACTGGTTTTGCTGTGATAACGCTTTTAGCGCTCTTTGCAACTATAAAGAGAGCGAGCGCTAATCCTAGGTGGCAAGGCCTTCTCAATTGACTTTCCTTCATACATAGTGTCGTTTGTACTACGAATAATGTTTACTCCCTTATTTATTTCAGTCAGCTGGGCGTGCGCCGATAGTCTAGCGGTTATGTCGCTGATCACACTACGAGTGGACCTGGGTTCGAGTCCCACTTGCGGCGAGTTTTTCGCACATTGTCCTGATGGTGTTTTGTCGACTCCCATTATTAATTCAAACGATACGCAAGGGATTCTAGGTATGGGCGAAGTATTTAAAGGTGTAGGAGAAGCTTTTTAACCAAGCCAAAAATATGAAGTAAATATCAAACGACTCAGCCGCTTCTGGATCTGGAGAACCCGGCGGTGCTGTCGGCAGAGAATTGATACGAAGGAGTATGGTCGTCCCGAAGAAAGTTCTGTCGGAGTTCTGAGTGGATCGTTCGAGGAATTGCTGATTACGCTTCAATTTCTTAATCCAAATGGGCCCGCAGAGCGTCCAGCAGGCAGTAATCCCGGAAAAAGCAAATCCCTCGGATGTCGAAATTTCAAACCGAATTCGAAAGGCGCGCCGTGGCTGGTTAGCTATATCGTTTACTAAGCGGATGAGGCTTGTGTCATCATTACTACATTCTAGAGGGGAGTAAAGGCATCCGACTAGTATGTTTTCCTGAGCATGAGATTTTATTGTGGCAAAACACGCTTCTCCAGCAAAGGTTTCAGTTGGGACATCAATACCACTTTGCTCAATGCTAGTTTTTATGTAGATAAGACAACCTCCGCCTCGTTTATTAACACGGTCCTGTCGATAGAAATTATAATTTGGGACATATAGTGAAGCATTCGATATAAGCTCATTTGCCCATGTTTCTGTAATGCAAATTACATCGGAGTTATATCAGTCAGTATCAAAAAAGTCAGTACCAACAAAAGTTCTAAGTTGGGTTATTTTGTTGACAATCGATGTGGAATTTATTAGAGCTATCTTTAGGATGTTGGATATGGAAGAGGTGGGCTGTGGTGAAAAAAAGGATTTCTGGGGGTACTTTGAGTGAGTGATGGACTAAATGGAGGTAGATGTGTGATTCTTGGAGGATATGGTGATGCGTATGGCGTAGTGTGAGTGCATGGGCTAGTGTGTATGGACTGAGGGTACACATAGGGAGGTGCGTTAACTAGGTGGTAATTGTATCTAAGTGGTGTTTCAGTTGGGGAGGTTTACGCTGGCCTGTGTATTTCTTTTTATCAGTGCAAGAAGCAGAAGTAGTGGCTAAAGATTCAGTCGAGGGACCGGAGTGCTAATTATCGTATTTGTAGCTGGTGTCTTTTTCCCGAAATTTACGTCTTTGCATAGGTGTCAAATCTGGACCTATAAACGAGTTTAGGTTCCGCAGATTTCTATTTACTTCGGGATTTTGTAGGACATTCTCAGCTTCCGCCTGTGAGTAGAAGGTTACTAAGAGGGGTTTGTTTTTGCTTCTGGAGTGAAGTCATTTCGTGTTAGCTACTCTGATATTTAAGCCACACGAATGTATAAAATTTTGAATTGATGGCGTCGGATTAACGGTGTGGGGTATATTACGGATAATTAAATTGTTCTCAGTCATGCTGATGGACGCCTACCGCGATGAACGCCCCGGGATCCGCATAGCCTACAGGACGGACGGCCACCTGCTGAACCAACGGCGGATGCAATTCCAGTCGCGCGTATCCACAGCCACCGTGCACGAACTCCTCTTCGCCGACGACTGTGTCCTGAACACCACCTCGGAAGAGGAGATGCAACGCAGCATGGACCTGTTCTCCGCCGCCTGCGAGAACTTCTCTCTGGTCATTAACACGCAGAAGACGGTGGTGATGCACCAACCGCCACCCAACTCAGCCACAGCCCCCAACGCGCCACCGCCGCCGCATATCAGCGTGAACGGAAATCAACTGCAAGTGGTGGCGAACATCCCGTACCTGGGCAGTACCCTCTCGCGCAACATCAAGATTGATGACGAAGTTGCCAACAGGATCTCGAAAGCCAGTCAAGCCTTCGGTCGCCTCCATAGCACAGTTTGGAATCGTCATGGTCTCCAACTGAGCACGAAGCTGAAGATGTACAAGGTTGTCATCCTGCCGACGCTACTGTATGGAGCGGAGACTTGGACGGTGTACTCGAGGCAGGCACGCCGACTAAACCACTTTTACCTCAGCTGTCTCCGCCGCATCCTGAGGCTGGACTGGCAGGACCGCATCCCCGACACCGAAGTGCTGGAACGGACGGGAATGCTCAGCATCTACTCCATGTTGAGACAAATGCAGCTGCAGCTGGAGCGGCCACCTGGTGCGCATGGACGACGAGCGACTACCCAAGACTCTTCTACGGAGACGTCGCGACGGCTTCTCGTCGTCAAGGAGGCCCAATTCGTCGATAAAAGGACACCCTGAAGTCCTCCCTGAAGCGTCTGTAAATCAACCCCACCAACTGGGATGAGCTCGCACTCGATTGACCGACATGGAGGAGGACAGTGAAGACAGGCGCTGCGATCTACGAAGCCAATCGCATCGCCGCCGCCAAAGCAAAACGTGAAGCCCGCAAATCACAACTTCGCCCAGTACGCAACGCCGCCGCACAACCGCTTCCAATGTGTCCTCGATATCAACGGATATTCCGGGCTCGAATCGGACTTGTTGGACATCTTCTGATTAACTGTAACTCTCGAACTGCACCAAACTTCATCCCCCAGCCATCCTCTTCCTCCTCCTCTCCGCCGCCAACTAACACTGACAATTCTTCTGACGCACCACTTCCATCCTCCTCCTCCTCCGCCTCCTTCGCCTCCTCCTCATCCTCCTCATCCTCCTCCTCCTCCTCCTCCTCCTCCTCCTCGCCCACTGTTCCAACGGCGGCCGCTCAGGCGACTGTCCCACGCACAATAACCGACAATACAACCACCTCCCCCGACTCCATGGATGAGGATCAGGACTGCAACTGCCCTCCCTGCGACCGTACCTTCACCTCACACATCGGCCTGGTAGGTCACTTGCGAATCCATCGCACAGAGCCTGACGAACCAGTGCGTGAAGCACCAACCTACACCCACCGCACTCGCCTCCACTGCCCACACTGCCCTCGCACCTTCAAGCTTCGCATGGGACTTTTCGGCCACATGCGCATCCACGAGAGCGGCCTTGACCGCACTCCCGACAAACCCACTACATCCAACACATCCACCGTGCACACCCCCAATCTCGTTCCATCCGTCCGCGACACCACCACCACCACCACCACCGCCTCCTCTGTAGCTGACACTGACACCGGCGACTTCTAATGCCCATACTGTCCATGCACATTCACCTCACGCATCGGCCTGGTCGGTCACTTGCGAATCCATCGCACAGAGACTGCCGAACCAGTGCCTGGAGCACCCACCTATACCCACCAACTTCCCACACTGTCCTCGCACTTTCAGGCATCGCATGAGCCTATTCGGCCACATGCGCATCCACGACGACCTGCGGTAGACAACCGCCGGCCACACCACACATTCACTCATCCCCTACCTCCTAGCACCATCACCCCACCAGACATCAACCCTCACACACCTCATGCACTGAACTGCCGCCTCCCACGCAAGTGGGAAGTGTGCATCTCGACTCGGTCCCCATGCGGTTTCGGCTGCACGGGTGACTTGTGTTCGAGACTATCCCGACACGCCAAACGTCGTGGATAGGAAGGTTGCTGATTGAGGCCCGCTCTCGATTCACGCAGTTCGTCACGTTGTGTGTGTGTTGTGCGGAGTGGCGGACTGGTGGGCTGGGGACGGGCTGAAGCAGCACCTTCCACGGCCCTCTCACGCAAGTGGGAGACACGCCGTTCAACCCCCGTTGTGTGAAATCCTGGTGTTTGTGTGTATGGGGGGCCAGGTCGTGCTGTGGCGCGCGCAGTCATGGTCAGTCGACCATGTCAGCAAACGCGCCCATTCCCCACTCCCGTCTACTGACCGGCTCGGACAGTGGCTGGGGTGTGGGAATGGGAAGGGAGAGTGAGGTCGACGACTCAGCGCATTTTCCTCACTATAATCAATCTGACGCACTTGAAGCTATTACGGTGCGCTAGAATCCGTGGCTTGGAAGGTTGCCAACTGACGGGGTAACTTGGTCCTCCTCCTTAACGGGAGGCGGTCTGAGAGTCAGGCTGCAATGGCTCCTTTTTAATGTGGCCTTTATGGCATTCCCACCACAGTGTGGGATCCGAGCCAGGCGTTGACGGCACGCCTAGGTGCGGCTTCCGCCGTGCCAGCCTCCAAATCTCTGCTGTGTTGGTTGAAATCCTGGTTATTTGTTGTGTGGACCAGGGGGTGTGGTGGAACGCCAAGGTGAGGATCCGTCCGAGCCATCCACCTGCGGCCTCCCTCGTCTCCGGTCTTCTTGACTCTGTCTTGACACCGGGCCCAGGCGGGGGAGGAGGAGAGAGTGTAGGTAGATGCTAAGCGGGGAATCCGACTGTCTAATTAAAACAAAGCATTGCGATGTCTGCTGGTCGGTTTTGACGCAATGTGATTTCTGCCCAGTGCTCTGAATGTCAAAGTGAAGAAATTCAACCAAGCGCGGGTAAACCGCGTGAGGTTACCTGAAGCTGCTGTGCTATTTGTCTCGCGTGCGACTGTTCTGTTTCCGAAGTGATTTAGTCGGGGATTATTGCGACAGCCTTTCGCAGCTGCGCGCCCCACCTCCAGCCGCAGGCAACGCCTAGCTCATTAGGCGGATTTGCTAGTTCGTCTCGCTATATTCACAAGGCCGGAGTCCAGTTCATATTTTCGGGTGGCTGGCGCATTGCCTCTTTTCCCAGATCCACCCTTGCCAGCTGGAATGCTGGACTTGTGGCGTGAGCTCTGTACCGCCCCATTATTCCGGACCTGCGGGCTACTCCAAATCCACATACTGCTGCTTGGGATATCATCCGTCCTATCAGCCCGACTGAGTTTTCTCGAAATCTCTGCCTAATGCAGGGTTCAGCGTCGGGCATTGATGGTCTGTTTGCGAAAGATCTGCTGCTCTGTCCGCCGGCTGGCTTTGCTGGTTTTTTGAATGTGATTCTAGCGATTGGCCATCTCCCAACCCAACATTGCTTTTGCAGATCCGCCTTGATCCCCAAGGTTCAGCGTCCTCATCTACCTTCGGAGTACCGCCCTATAGCAGTCTCCAACATTATCCCTCGCTTACTAAACCGTATTACTTCTGACAGTTGGTCACGACTCTGTCCTACCGCCCACTTCCAGTTTGGTTTCCAGGAGCGGGATGGGACGGCCGAGGCGACGGCTTCACTTCATGGAATGTTACGGCAAGCGGTCTCTGCTCCCAGACCCATTGCTGTGGCCGTTTTAGATGTTGCGAAGGCCTTTGATTCCGTGAACCATGACACGCGCTTGCGAGCCGCCGCCGTACACGCAGCGCCACCTCTACTTCTTAATCCCCTAACTTTCTCCTACTCCAGAACTACTACCTATATGCTTGACACTGAGGTCCGATGCCTGCCTGGTGTCCGCCAAGGAGACCCCTCTCATCCCTTCTCTTCTCCTGTGCACTTAGGGAAGCTATTTCCCATTCTCATCGACAGCTTGGCCTCGAGTTGGATGGAGTAACAGTGGACTGCATTTCATATGCAGATGATCTCGTGCTTTCTGCCGAATCGCCTCATCGACTCTGTAGGTTGACGCACATTTTCGATTTTTTAATCTAAACCTTCTTGTATACCTAAACGTTTCTGTACCGTTGTTTAAACCAACTAGAATTCACACGCATGGTTTCGACTTGTGTGTCATTGTTTCGTTCATTGCACTCATTTGCGTCAATCGCCTTTAGTCAATCGACACGAAACTTTTATATGTTTTGGCCATATTTAACTGGACGTAATTTCACCTGAGCGACAAGCCTCATTCACTGACTTCGTCTCGTATTTTACCTGGCACATTCACCCTACGGCCAACGATTGTGGAGAAGGCTTTATTTGTCGTGAGTCTGTATAATTATTTACTTTTGTCGTTTTTCTTATACTCATTTTGCTATCGCTATTTTTTTGTAAGAAATGTAGTATACCCCACATAGATCTAAGTTGTAGTGTAAACAGCAATTAAACTACAAATAAAAATAAATATCTAACTCAAGTTAGATATTTATTTTTATTTGTAGTTTAAATGCTGTTTACACTACAACTCCTACAGGGATTGGATGGTCTGGCCAATGGCCTCTCCCTTGCCGGTATGGTCCTTAACTCGGCCAAGTGCGTCTCCTTCTACTTACAAGCGCTTGGAAAAGAAAAGAGTACATGCCTCCAACTGTGCGATGTTTCAATCGGAGGGATGGTGTTGCGCTCGTTAGGGCCGACGGACACTTTCGATTATTTGGGGGTGCCCTTTTCCTACCGCGGAAAGGTGACAGTAGGCCACCGTCCTGTCCTTCACAAAATGCTGGAGGAGATCACCGGACCACCTCTTAAGCCGCAGCAGCGACTTACACTTCTTAAGCGTCATTGTTTGCCTAAGCTTTTGCACCAGTTGGTACTTGGAGCAGTGCATCGCAACACTCTGAAACGATTGGATTTACAAGTACGACAGGCGGTACGGAAGTGGCTGAAGCTCCCGGCGGACACGCCAATCTCTTTCTTACACACTGCTATTCGAGACGGGGTCCTTGGTGTCCCATGCTTGGCAGTTCACGTTCCTTTTGTTAAGCGCCGACGACTGGATTCAGTGCTCTCCCCAAAAGAGCCTGCAGTACGAGCAGCTGCCGCTGTCCCTTCTGCCTTCCCTGGTATGCAGCTAGCAGCTCAACCGGTGCGTCTGAGCCAATCGGTCCTGGCAAGTAAAGAGGACGCAAGGAACTACTGGAGGACTTCTCTCTATGCTTCCGCGGACGGTCGACCGCTCGCTCACTTTGCTGAATCTACCAGTGCCAATCATTGGCTTTCCTCTCCGGACCGAGTCTTTCCATGGCTCTTCTTGCGTGGCATCTACCTTCGGGCGGGTGTTCTCTCTACCAAATCCCGCAAATCCCGGAGAACCGGCTCTGAGGATGTATTGTGTCGAGGCCAGTGTGGCCAACGTGAGACCTTATTCCACATACTCCAGTGCTGTCAAGTAACGCATCATGCCCGAGTGTTGCAACATAATTTGGTCATGAAGCTACTAGCAGAACGTTTGATGAGCGATGGACGAGACTTGTTGATTGAGCCCCACGTCCCCGAGGGCAACTCCTTCTGCAAACCAGACATCGTCATGAACACGGAGAATTCAATAACGGTGATTGATGTGGCCGTAGCGCGAGAGGACATAATGGACGGAGTCTATGCTGGTAAAGACCGACGCTACTCAGCCTCGAAGATAAAGCCACGGGAATACCCGAACAGGGGGGGGGGGGAGAGAGAGCCCGTGACTGGCGCAGGCTGACTTAGCAAATTGGGCAAGCGGACGGCCATCTGCAGAGTTGTACAATACAGTTCTCCAATAGTTCCGCGCGTCTTCCTTGCTGGCCAGGACCGAATGGCGCATTCGCACTGGTTGAGCTGCTAACCTCAGGCCGGGAAGTGCAGATGGCACTGTGGCAGCTGCTCGCACAACAGGCTCAGTTGAACTGAGAATGGAGTCCAGGCGACGGGGTTTAGCGAGGGGGACAAGAACTGTCAAGCAGGGAACACCAAGACCCCCATCAGCAACAGGCGCATGGAGGAAGAAAACCGGCGTGTCTGCAGGAAGCTTCAGCCACCGGCGGACGCTCTGTCTTACTTGGGTATCGAGTCTCTTCAAGGTGTTCCGGTGGGCCGTCCCAAGAACTAGTTCGTGTAGGAGCTTTGGCACGCAGTGGCGCTTCAGAAGTGCAATACGCTGCTGCGGCTTCAGCGGTGCTCTCGTTATTTCATCCAGCATGTCAGACAGGACCGAACGATGACCTACCGTCACCCTCCCACGGTATGAGAAGGACACCCTCAAATACTTGAAAGTGTCCCTTGGCCCTAACGAGCGCAAGACACTCCTCCTGATTGATACTTCGCACGGGCAGAGGCATGCACTCTTCTCCTTTCCAAGGGCTTGAACGTAGAACGACACGCACTTGGCCGAGTTGAGGACCATACCAGCAAGGGAGAGGCCATTGGCCAGACCATCCAGTCTCTGCTGCAAACGGTGAGGTGATTCAGCGAATAGGACGAGGTCGTCTGCATAGGCAATCGAATCCACCGTCGCCCCAGCCAGATCAAAGCCCAACTGCCGGTCGGAGTAGGAGAGGGCTTCAGAGAGAGCGCAGTTGAAGAGGAGAGGGGAGAGAGGGTTGCCTTGGCGGACATCGCGTTGGCATCGAACCTCAGCGTCAAGGATATAGGTGGAGGTGCGAGAATAGGAGGAGGATAGAAGAGTGGTTCGGAGCGGTGGCGCTCTTGCTAGCGGCCGCGGCGTGGTTTCGCTAGATAGTAGATAGGGACAGTAAGAATCTCGTTAATCCATTCATGCGCGTCACTAATTAGATGACGAGGCATTTGGCTAGTAATTATTTATTATGCTGAAAATGAAATTACACGATGGGCAGATCTTGCCCCAGAAAGAGCCAGCATGTTGCTACAAGGTTTTGGAAGAACAGTCTGTTAGGCATCCCAGGGGCAGGATAAGTATTGTTTGGACGTCATTCTGGTGTTCTCCAGGGCCAGTTTATCCACTAGTTTTCGTCACCGACACCAGCTTCATATGGTTCCCGGGTTCCTTTGCGTCGGTTATCCCCAACACCGCCAGCTCCACGGGCATAGACATCGTAGGCCTTCAGAGATCCTCGAATCACTGCCAAGCATAAGCCTGACAGGTCGAACGTAGATAATCCAAGGGATCGTAGAAGACTTTCGCTACGGGAAGAAATAGTTCCGCGCGATGAGACGACTGCTGAAATATGAGACACGGGAGTATTGGCTGGTTTCGTCAGGATCCTCCGAAGGTTCACCTCGACTTCCTCCGCTGAGTAGCGTCGGTCTTTACCAGCGTAGACTCGGTCCATTATGTCCTCTCCCGCTACGGCCACGTCAATCACCGTTATTGAATTCTCGGTGCTCATGACGATGTCTGGTTTGCAGAATGAATTGCCCTCAGGGACATGGAGCTCAATCAACAGGTCTCGTCCATCGCTCATCAAACGTTCTGCTAGTAGCTTCATGACCAAATTATGTCGCAACACTCCTCAGAGCCGGTTCTCCGAGATTTGCGGGACTTGGTAGAGAGAACACCCGCCCGAAGGTGGATGTCACACAAGAAGAGCCATGGAAAGAGTCGGTCCGGAGAGGAAATCCAAGACCGATTGGCCCAGACGCACCGGTTGAGCTGCTAGCTGCATACCAGGGAAGGCAGAAGGGACAGCGGCAGCTGCTCGTACTGCAGGCTCTTTTGGGGAGAGCACTGAATCCAGTCGTCGGCGCTTAACAAAAGGAACGAGAACTGCCAAGCATGGGACACCAAGGACCCCGTCTCGAATAGCAGCGTGTAAGAAGGGAATCGGCGTGTCCGCTGGGAGCTTTAACCATTTCCGTACCGCCTGTCGTACTTGTACATCCAGTCGTTTCAGTGTGTTGCGATGCACTGCTCCAAGTACCAACTGGTGCAAAAGCTTAGGCAAACAATGACGCTTAAGAAGTGTAAGTCGCTGCTGCGGCTTAAGAGGTGGTCCGGTGATCTCCTCCAGCATTTTGTGAAGGACAGGACGGTGGCCTACTGTCACCTTTCCGCGGTAGGAAAAGGGCACCCCCAAATAATCGAAAGTGTCCGTCGGCCCTAACGAGCGCAACACCATCCCTCCGATTGAAACATCGCACAGTTGGAGGCATGTACTCTTTTCTTTTCCAAGCGCTTGTAAGTAGAAGGAGACGCACTTGGCCGAGTTAAGGACCATACCGGCAAGGGAGAGGCCATTGGCCAGACCATCCAATCCCTGTAGGAGTTGTAGTGTAACCAGCAATTGAACTACAAATAAAAATAAATATCTAACTCTAAGTGGGGTATACTACATTTCTTACAAGAAAAATAGCGATAGCAAAATGAGTATAAGAAAAACGACAAAAGGTAAATAATTGTACAGACTCACGACAAATAAAGCCTTCTCCACAATCGTTGGCCGTAGGGTGAATGTGCCGGGTAAAATACGAGACGAAGTCAGTGAATGAGGCTTGTCGCTCAGGTGAAATTGCGTCCAGTTAAATATGGCCAAAAGATATTAAAGTTTCGTGTCGATTGTCTAAAAGCGATTTGCACAATGACTGATATTCTCTGTCGAGGGCAGTGCGACCAAAGGGAGAATCTCTTCCGTATACTCCAATGCTGTCAGATAACGCACCAGACCCGAGTGTGGCGGCACAACTTGACTATGAAGTTACTGGCCTCCAAGCTTGCTGGTCGTGGACATGAGGTGCTGATTGAACCCCACATTCCTGAGGGGCAAACGTTCAAGATGCCGGACAGTGTGGTGTGCGCCGAGGACGATCTCACGGTGGTGGACGTATCCGTTACTGGGGAAGAATTGATGGACACGGTCTACGCTGGGAAGATCCGACACTATTCCACAGTGGAGGTCGAGGGGAATCTACGGAGGATCCTCGGGAAACCAGCAGACATTCCAATCCTACATGTGCCCGCCATGTTCTCCTCTCGAGGCAGCATATCACCGCGCAGTGAAGCTAGGCTGCGGCTTCTAGGATTGTCCACGTTTGATCTATCGGATTTATGTCTGACTGTGATACGAGGTTCTCTGAAGGCCTATGAGGTCTATGTACGCGGAGCCGGCAGTGCAGAGAACGGCTGAATAGGCGAAACCAGAAGTTGCCAACTTAAAAACTGCCCTGGAACACTGTCTTACAAGATCATGCAATGCTTGCTTTTCTGGGGCATGANCCACATTTCGGCTGTTTTTTCTATACTAATTTCGCAAAAAACATGGACAGGACAATACTCAAATTTCTATAGTTTTATTCCGCTAAGCCAGAAACGAGGCTTGATCTGCTGCCTCACCAACCAATCTAAGAGGATATGCACTCCAGATAGGCTTGAGAATGAACTTGCCATTATACAAAACACTGAGAGAAAACGGCTGCCCTGAAGAGTTTATCAACAAACATGGAAGAATGCCCTCCAAAATCTGATGTCTCGACGGCTGAAAAGGAATTATTTCTCACACCCATTTCGAGGCGATCCGGCAAGCGAACTCCTACATCGTCGCTTAAACGCTGCTATAACGCTTACGTACCCAGCCGCTAAGATACGACTGGTTTTCACAAGCACTCCGCTTCTTCGCCTTGAAGGTAAGGATGGTGTGCCTTTTCAGACCTCTTCAGTGTGCATCTGCGCCCTCACTTGCTCCTGTGGGGCAGGTTATATTGGTTGAACAGCTAGGCGTCTTCTATCTAGGCGGATGCGAAAGCACCATCCTGCCTGGCTAAATCAAGGTGGGAAAAAGTCCACCTCTAGCGCAATTGTGGCTGACTTGGGTGACAGCGGCCACCGAGTAGACGTCAGCCAGGCATTTCGAGCCATCGATAAAGTGCCGGCAAAACACTTCAAGTTCCTTCCTCAGCGAAGACTTGCGACGGCCCAGGCAGTGGGCATACGGTTGGCTAACCCGACCTTGTGTTTGCATAAAACGCATGTACAAGCGCTAAGGCTCTTCCTGGGTAAAGCCAACCCCAGCATATCTGTTCACACCCGCCACGTCGCGTTACAGCGCTGAGACGGGGACAGCTAATTGTCAGACGCCTTCCCCCTTCCCCTCCCTAAGCTCCTGATAGAACTAGAGTCTGGACCCATTACCCCTGGACACCCCTCAACCCTCTCCCCCATAATGACTGTTATTGGTTGTTTCGCTTTTGCTACTCTACCCCCTATTATGTTACAGTCCAGGCCTGATGATGAATAATCGAAAGCGCACTTTTCCCGGACTTGACTTCTTAAATGTGTACGCGAGTATCATCACTGAATTTCAACTAATTTCATTCTCACAAACCGCGTTATGGCGGGTAAATGGCGGCTTATCTCTCGCCTTTATCTGCGTGGGTCGCTCTGATCACGTGGAGCGCATTGGAGAGGGGAGTTTGGTTGAATGGTTACAAAAACAGTTGATATACACCTTGAATTGTTGTTACGCTTTTGATCCCCAGAACCTAATATCCAGCGCAAAGGCGCTTGCCGTCCTTCTTCGTGAGTGTGTGAGCGACCACGTCGTCATATGGGGAATTTGCGCACTATATAATAATTGTCCATATACGTATATGCCTTTTATTTCACTTACTTCAATTACTGCTTCTTTGGTACGGCAGAAGCTTACTGATGAGGAGGAACAACGCGCCTGGTTTAAATCCGAACTCGCCAAAGCGGAGGTTCGTCGTGATCTTGTGAAGATAACTTCGCTACCTTGTTTCACTGTAATACTTGGCTCCATTATTGACCGCCAGTGCACCGTGAAGCGCTCCAAAAAGCGCCCACTAATGGTCGTCTGGACCAATCCGGACATCCTGGGTGCCCACCATCACAAAAAACATCAACTGTTGTTCAAGCACGGCGATGACCTGCGTCAGGACATGTTAACTTTGCAGTTGCTGAGGGTTAGTGTTATCCTGTTGTCCCATTCATTTCAAACTCCACTTGGGAATTGTTACCATTGGCTAAAGTTTATCTCCCCATATTTTCGTCTTTATACGCATTTGATATTTTAGTGAATTCTGCCCTTTTGTCCGACTTTGAAATGGACACAGCAGCTGGCTATTGAAAGTGCGGGTTGGAAGTGGGGAGCCAGTGCGCGTGCGGCGTACGGAAGACGAGACAAAACGCCTATTCAGTCTCTGTACCCAGTCTCACCTCCATTGGGCTTCACTCAGTCGTGTCTCTAAAACTCACAGGCAGTGCAGAAGGAGAAACCCTGAACAACCATTCCTGACTGACAAATCTGAACGAACAAGGCGCCTTAATATTAGCTGAAAAGAAAATAACTGATAGACCGAAAGGTCGGCCACTAAGGCCGATAGGTAGGCTACGATGATTCCTCAGCGTGGCTTTTGTACGATGA